AAGATATTATAATAATTTAATTTAATTTTAAATAAAAATTAAATATTTTTTCTCTCTTATTAATTTCTTTCACTAAGTCATTTCTCTCACCTATTAAATTTCTTCTCTAATCCATTTCTCTTTCCTATTAAATTCTTTCTCTAATTTATTTATCTCTCTCCTATTAAATTTATTATTTAATTCATTTTTCTCTCATCTCTCATGAAATAACTTAGTGAATGAAATTAATAAAAATGAAAAAATATTTTATTTTCTTTTAAAATTAAATTAAATTACTATAATATTTTTGTATGAATTAATCAAATAAAAAAATAAATAATTTTTTTATCTTAAAATTTTGGTATAAGTTGCTAACATATTCCTAATAAAAGATAGATGGAGTGTATATTTAAGAGGAAATAGAAATACTGAAATAAAAAGATATGATTGTTGATGGAAACCAAACCTCAATGATGGTTATCACTTTTATGATTGCTCACACGCCATGTTTATTTACTTTCATGATGTTAAAGTCACGGTTTCCTAGATTATTTGGACATCAATTATTAATTACCATTATTTGACAAATGGCGACATTCTGAAAACAGTGGGAGGTTGTTAGTTGTTACAACCTTTAAATCCAGAATCATGCATGTCTAGTTAATTAGTAATACATAAAAAGCAGGGTACATGTCGTTTATCGGCTAAACCCATATATGTTGTTTTCGAATTGTGCAAAAAAATATTATCCTCCGAAAATGGAGGCCGAAAATTCATCCGAATTAAAAAATTATTATTTTTTAATAAATTTATTATAAAATATTATTAAAAAATAATATTTTTGAATGAATTTTCGACTTCTATTTTTGGAAGCTGTAGCAACGCTTAAAATATATCTATGAATTTAAATTGTGACATCATGACCAATACTTGTGCATATTATTGAGTGATGAGAAAGGTATTCCATCACCATCAATTATTAACACCCTTCATCTCCCTTCGCTAATTTTCCCATTTCACATTTTATATTAATTAATTAGTTAAATTATTTTTTTTCTTCTATTTTTTATATATAATTTTAAATTTTTATTTTAAAATAAAGATATTTAATTCTTTTATTTTAAAATATATAATATTGATTATATTATCAATTTAATATTTATTGATAGTTAAATTTTAATATTATTTAATAGTATATTATTATTTAAATAATGTGATATTTAGTAACATATTATATAAAAATAAAAATTATAAAATAACATATAAAATATATCTATTTGTATTTATTTTTAAAAGTGATTAGTATTTAATTTATTAATAATAATTTTATACATTTTTTAATTTTTTAAATATAATATTACTAAATATTATATCTCGTAAGCATATATATTAATTAGGCGAAAAGATGAAAATTTCATATTTTTGAAATTGGAGGACTAAAAACTAATGCAGACATATCACGTGGACAAACCAAAAGACACGTACGCGAGTGATTAAGAACGAATAAACTTTAACATTCATAGTAATACCCATAAATTAATTAACAAATATCATGTGCAGACATCGATAACCTTTTAATCAAGTATAATTTTGAAAAGACTTAATTTTATTTATTTTTTCGGTGTGTAACGTTTTTTCGATTTCACTTTTTAGTTTTAAATAAAAATTTGATCGATCTTAAAGCATCACAATAGATGTCTCTTATACATATATCTTAATTACTTTATTGGATCTTTTATTATCGCATCATATTTAAGTAATCTGTTACACTTTCATTTTAATAGTAAATTTTTAAGCAATTAATAAAATACTTTTATTTTTATATTTTTTTTATGTATACATGATTTTATTTAATAGTTGGGCTCACAAAATAACAATTTTTTAAGTTAAGGAATCATATTTTGTAGTATAAGATGCAATGCTTAAAAATTAAAAAATTATATTGTCACATAGATTGTCCTAATTTAATGGAGAAAAATTAAGATAATATCTTAAGTTTAAGATATACTTAAAATACTTCCATTGCGGTCTTTGTGAATGCTCTCAATTTCTAAATTTTTAAAATTACATTTTTAGTCTTTATTTATTTTTAAGATTCAATTTAGTTTTATTATTTAAAAATAATTTAATTTAATTCTTTAATTTTTAAAAATTATTCAATGTTACTCTTCCATTTAAATTAACAACATTTTAGATAAAACATATGAAAAAATAATATTGAATATTTTTTAAAATTTAGATTATCAAATTGAACATATTAAAAATAGTAAAATTAAATTAAATATTTTAAATAATTTAATTTATTTATTTAATTTTTAAATGATATTTAATGTTGTCTTTTTATTAAATTTTATCAATATGGTTAATGTTAATTTAAATGGAAGGATAACACTGAATATTTTAAAAGTTCTAAATAATCAAGTTAAATTATTTAAACATAATGAGATCAAATTAAATCTTAAAAATAAATAAAAAATATAAAATATAATTTAAAAAAAATTTTATTCTCTATTAATAATTTTTATTATTATCATCAAATACATTCATTAAATGATAATGTAACAACTACGTCATGAGTAACGTTATTAAATAGTTCGATGCAATGACTATATGTAATTTTCTTACGTATGTTTTAACTTTTAAGTTCTCGACATTTCACAAAATTCATTTTCAGACTTTGAACAATTTTTTGACTCACCTTACTCTCTCTCTTATTTATTTATGGAATTCATTTTTAATCGCTCAACAATTTTTTGACTGATATTATTTATCATCATTACAAATTACAATCACTTAACTTAATTTTTATTTTTTAACAAATTTTGTTAATCGATGATGTGACAATTAAAGTCACTTACTATGTGAACTACTAATTTGAGTTAGAAATCACATGGTAAAATATTATTGATTAAAGATGTTTTATATTTATATAGGCTTTACAAGATTATTTCAAACTCATTTTTTGAAAATGTTACCGCATCATGTCGAACGATGATACTTGATAGGAGAGATTAAAATTAATAATGAGTAATAGTTGAGAGTCTAAGAATGATAAAAAAAAATTATTGAACAATTAAAAATAAATTTAATAAAAATAAATATGTATATATGTATATATATATATATATATATATTTTTTTTTTTTCTGAAAGAACTAATGAATGAATAATAGAAAATTTGATTGTTGCATAGTATTGGTGGCGGATCGTACAGTATTTTGAGTCCATTCGGCCAGCCAACAACAGCAGCTTCGTTACTGTCCGTATTCAGTTGGAAGTTTGGCAGCAGGAAGGTGACGACGAAACTTGGTTGACAACAACAACAACAACATCATCATTTCCATTCCATTTTTATTATTATTTCCATTTTTCTTTTGTTAGTTATTTTCAACAAAAGAAAAGCAGCACAGTTGGAAGCAAACAAAAGACCAACAAAAACAAAAGCCTGCTCCCTCCGGTCCCTTTTCTTCTGTTTCATTCTTCTTTGTCTCACACTTGTCTTCTCTCCCTCTCTCTCTCCACACTTTTTCTTTCTTCTCTTCTCTTCTTTTCCTTCAAACTTCAAATTTTTCACATGTAACTGCTTTGCTTCGAGACCTCAAACATTTACATATCATCTCTGATCGTTTCAAAATATGGAACAGCTTGTCAACTCCATCATTCGGCCTCCGAGGTACCATCTTCCTCTCTCTATGTTGGGATAAACTTTTTCAATCAAAGTATGTTTTTTTCTTCACATTCTCAGGTGGGTATTTATTTGCTTATGCTTCTTATTGTTTAGAATGAGATGGGGTACAAAATTTTGATTTTTAGTTTAATTGTCATCCAAAAGGAAAGCTAGAGCAAGACATATGTATATTCAGTGTTTTCATTTGCTCTGCATCTCCATGAGAATCATAGAGTTATCTTTATATCTTGGTGGGGTGTGCACTGTGGAATGTGCTCTTCCTGTTAACTTGGTTTGTATTTGTTTGGTTGGGAATTTGAGATCTATTCTTAAGCTACCGTAAAAGGCTTACTTTTCTGTAATGTATGTGAATGTTACCCTTTGCATGGTACCAACTCTACAAACACTTATAGCCACGGCAAGCTTGTTCGTCAAATTTCTTCCTTTTTCACACAAATATATGAACATAGTTTTCATTTATAACTACTTTTAGCATAACAAGTTCCTATTGCTTTTTGTGATTTGAAAATTAGATCTGCCAATCATGTAAGATCTCGAGAACACTAGACTTTTGAATTGTTCTTAAGGCCTTTTGGATGACAAATGAGAATAAATGGATCGATCCCCAAGAAGGGAAATGGAAATATTATGTTAATTAAAATATTTTCAAGAATTACAATGAAAATGCACATCATTCTAATTTTGAGGATATCAGGTGAAGCTCAGTTTATCTATATGCCTTGATGTATTTCTAATTATGTAGTTATATGTGAAATGCCCATCACAAGATAGCTAGTTAGCTACATACTTGAGGTCTTCTTTCTGCAATTATGGCATAAGATGAACTGACATTGAGTTCTGTTATCTGCATGGCTCAGTAATTTTTTTGCACTTTTTCAAGTTTAACTTAAACAATTGTAATATTGTGACTGTATCTGTTATTGGCATGCAGAGCTGAATATGATCCAAAAACTGATTTATTGGATTACGAGTTCATGCTAAAAGGGAAATGGTTTCAACGGAAAGACGTGGAGGTATAGTTAAAAATAAATTATGTTGGTAAAAGCATTGGGTCTGGGGAAATACATTAAATGACTGGGTTTATCTCAGTTCGTAGTTTATAGCTAAATTGTCAACCATGTGCTTTGAAAATAATTATACTTTTGAGGCCATAACTTTCACACTGAAAGAAAATCAGTTTCATAATTCGTCCCAATGGTAAGTTATTTGATTGCTCTTTTGGAGAACTAAAACAAAAAGTATTTCTTATCTAGGATGCCGACATGGAAGAATTGGTTAGTCAAATTTATAAACATTAGCATGTTAATTCCTTTTGTGCACAGTACTTTTATCTAAGTTCTTTACTCATTTCTTACCACAATAATCTAAAATCATCATCATTTAGATCATTTGCTAAGAAATAAGTAAGTTATAACATATAAATGTATGCATGTGATCTTCTAATTTATGTATCAATTCAATTGCAAAGTTTTTGTTGATGCCATTCTCTGTTTTAATCATAACTTATATGCATTATTTTATTATTAAGTAACATTCTATTTAGTTGAGTTGATGACCTGAATTATTAGTCTTTAATGAAATATTTGATATTCTGCAGATAAAAAACAGCCGTGGGGATGTTCTTCGATGCAGCCATTACATGCCAATAGTCAGTCCTAATGGAAAGCCTCTGCCATGTGTAATATATTGCCATGGAAACAGGTGACTCTCGGATAATATGCATTTGTTTGTTGGTTAGCATGCAAATTGATGCTTCAAAGAGTTCGATGCAAACAATTTCTGGATGTTTCAGACTTTGCATTGAAGATGTGTGTGTTTTCCTTTTATTTTCTCTTCCTTTTTAAAAAATATTCTTTATAATTTAGAAAAGAGCACTATGTAATCTCTGTGCCTATTAATGTATTAATGTAAATAATGTGTTTTTGTCTTATTTGTTATTAGAAACGTGGTTGATCGTTTGTTACTCGCAATTTGATGAATTTCAGAAGTTGGTATGTATGCACCTTTCCTACCGGGTTACAACTATAAAACGTATAAATAAATAGAAGTTAACACAGTCCAAATTTTAAAACCTTTCTCTTTCAGTTTTTTATGTAGCAGTATAAATGTTACATGCATTTAGTTTGATATAGTGATCACGTGGGAATTGCTGCATTTTCAATTTAACAATGCTGATTTGAAAGCTTTGCGTTCTTAAACATTTGTTGTTGACTACAAGTATATTGTCTTGCATTTCTTTGTGCTTATGAACAGATTTAACGGATAATTTTGCTTAAAATTGAGAACTGGAGAAGTAATAAATAAGACATGTAAGCGTGTGTTTGCTTATACACGCTAAATGTATTTATCTAGTTGGTTTGGGTTTTGATATCTTAGAACTTGGTTGCCTGGCTCTTGGTTTGAACCCATTTTAATATGCATGACTCCTCTTTCCCCATGATTTCAAACAGTAGAGTCTTCATCACAATTCACTTTTCTGGATTTGATTATGAAATTTCAGATATTTGTAATTCTAATATCTTTTGAGTTTCTCTGCTGGTGATTGCTTGTTTGGTGTTGCCCTTTTAATAGATTCCAATTTGTGCTATGTTTATGTCAGTGGATGCAGGGCTGATGCCAGTGAAGCTGCTATAATTTTACTTCCTTCAAATATTACAGTTTTTACTCTGGATTTCTCAGGATCGGGGATCTCTGGAGGAGAGCATGTCACTCTAGGTTGGCATGAAGTAAGTGCTTGCTCATTAACTCTTTGAACTTTGAGAGCATATCTTATCTAGTGGCATCATTATCATTGATATTATGTGATTTTTATTACCGACTCTGATGGGGGTTAGTTTTCTCCATGTATATCATGTCATAATCATGTTCTTACTGGGCACATCCAAGAGAGAGCCAGTGCCTCAATGTTTTGGAGGTGAATTGAGGATAACATCATGGAACAATTTGCATGATTTAGGTATCTAGGTCCATCTTCCAAAGCAATAGGAGATTGATGGGCATGTATTTGTAGCACATGGGATTGAAGATGGGTGGATGAAATGGAGAAACACTTTAAGTTTAATTTGTGATTATAAAGTGCCACCAAACTAAAGGAAAATTCTACCAGGTGGATGCAAAGATCATCAATTCTCTACTAAGTGTTGCCTATTGGGCATCGAAGTGCCAAGAAGAGCCCAAAAGAAATATGTAAGTCTTAGAATTTGGTCTTAGGGCCTAATCAACATAAAGAAACCGGTTTGTAAGGTGATGAAATAAGTTCAATTTAAGTTGTACTTCTAATCGATGTAGGACTAAACCACCACTCTGAAGCTGCAATTACAGTAGCTCTCAAAGAGGTTGCAACTAAGGCGGCTTTCATCAGTATAGCATGGATGTTGAGGTTGATGAGTGTAGTGGACATACAAAAAGATAACCTAATGTTAGGAATGAAAGTTTTTGAAAGTTAGAGTAGCACCTATTGAGAATAAGCTGACCAAAACTTACCTAAGGTGGTTTGATAATGTGAGGAGAGGGCTATTAGAGGTTCCAATTGAAGAAAGTGGATTAAATGGAAACTAATTCAATTAAAAGGGCTAGAGGAAATTCGAATAAACTTTTCATATTCACAAATTCAATCCAATGTAACCAAAATAAATAAATAGATAAATTCAACCCAAATATATTATCAACCGGTTCAAATTAGTTTTGGTAACATGAATGTTGGAGTACCATTGACAGAAAATATGAAACTGATAATGAGCCTGAGGCAGGATACTTGTGATCCTCATTTCTTTAATAAATTGCTTAAATCACAGTGCAGAACTGCATATGAAATGGTTGTGTTTGTAGTCGACTGGGAGTTTGCATACCATTTGCTTTGTTCCCACTTTTTTTTATTATGAAGATTGTTTAACATTCTACATTCTTGGTTGTTTTCAGAAGGATGATTTGAGGGTTGTGGTCAATTATCTGCGTGCGGATGGAAATGTCTCTTTGATTGGCTTGTGGGGACGCTCAATGGGTGCTGTGACTAGGTAAATTTTTATCAGTCACTTCACTCGACCTTACATTTTAAATGAGGTTAAAGAAATGTTTCCTAGGTAGTGGTCGTACATAGGGTTGCAATCTTTTTCTAATAAGAGCTGGTGTGGCTTAAGATGAATATATGCAGAAAGACTTCTTTAAGATTTTTTTATTTGTTAATGATCATAGCATTGGAAACAACAATGAAGGGATCAAAGTCCATGAGATGATAGCTGAACAAGTCCTTAACTTGTAGAAGGAGGTGTATGTCATATGTTTTAGTGTCATTGTTGGATAATGGATTGTCTGCAGAGCACAGCCTTAACTTGCGGATGAAGCATTTCATATTATGTTTATGTATGCTTGTTTGAATTTTTTTGTAGACTGGTGGAAATGATCTCCTCTTTATAAATGTACAACCCATTTGCTTCTTAATTTTTAAAGTCAATTTATAAACTCCTTGATTGTGTAGATATTCAGTCTTACGGCTGTATATCACTTTCCTTCTTGCCATTAATGATGTTATTCCTTGCAGCCTTATGTATGGAGCTGAGGATCCTTCAATTGCAGGGATGGTTTTAGATAGCCCCTTCTCTGATTTGGTTGATTTAATGATGGAACTTGTAGATACATACAGATTCCGTCTGCCAAAATTCACAGTAAGTGTATTTTATTTTTGAATGGAAATGAAAATTCTTTTTACAGAATCTAACCAAAACAATTAATCTATAATCTCATTTCATATTTTAATGCTTCGCTACATTAGATAATTAAAATCACCTTCAGGCTTGGACGCTTAGTCTATGGTGTGTTACCAACCAAATGTTATGATTGAAAGTTTGATTCAGAGAGATTTCATTTTAATACCAATGAAGGCCCTTATCCCATCCAGGCTGGAATGTAATAGCTTTTCAAGACATGCTTTTTCTTTGAATTTCTTCTCCCTAAAATGTAGGCTACTGTACAGGGTCCAGATACATGTTTTTTGATGAGTAACAAGTCAGTTGTTACTGTAAGGATGCTTTCTAAGAGGCTATTTTCTTGAAAAGTAGTTGACCTAGGCTATAGTTTATTATGTAGCAATGTAGCAGTTGCGACAAATGATTACTACTTTTGCCAGGGGCCTGTAAATATCTGTAGTTTGCAACAAATAAGTGTTTTTACCCCTTTTTATGGATATTTAAATACTTTATACATACTACTTTTTTCCATCGCCCTAATTTCTCTTTTGAGAATAGATTGTCATTGCCCTACAATTTTGCCCTTTATTAATAATTCATTTATATGCAAAACTACAGAAGTACAATTGCTTAAAGTTTTGTTGGAGACCATGGATTCATGTCATTACTGTTATGCTCTCTTTGTTCTTGTTACAGGTGAAGTTTGCAATTCAATACATGCGAAAAGCAATCCAGAAGAAGGCAAAATTTGACATAATGGACTTGAACACCATTAAGGTTATTTTTTTCCTTTTGTTTAATGAGAAAAATTACTTTTATTTGCCTGTTTGTGTATAATGATTGATTAATTTGACGGAAATAGTTGGTTAGCTTTATTCCTTTGCTTTTCCTCATTATTTGCTTGATATAATTTGAATTTAATTCCAATGTCTGTAAAGCAACATTCTATTTTTCATCTCAAACTTGAAAATCGTATACACTTGTTGAGACTTTGTTCTTCTTTTTTTTTTAATTGTGAAAGTGCACGCATATTAGTTTGTCAGTCATATGATATGACTGTAATTTCACTCAGCAACTCATAAATATATTACTAAGATATTCTGTGCTCAATTATTTTTTTAAGTTAACTCAATTAATTATTTATGTATCCTAATAATATCAAAGATATTTACTGCACTTTTCCAGTAAAAAAATCAAATGCTATTATTTGATTCAAATACAAAGCCTCAACTAGTAATAAGTGTGGAAGAAAAAACTGAAATTCAAGGATTTTTATGATGGAGGGGTACGATTTAGCTGGTTCTGATTTTGTCAAACTTTGTGCATCATTTTGTTAATTGACAGTGGTGACTGAACTTTTCTTGGACCTGGTGAACTTCTTTAACTTTGATTAAAGTTTAGGAATTAGGATGATTCATTATTTACATTCTCCTTTCTACATTGGGTGCCTGTGATCATGCATAATCGTCCCTTTTGAGAAGGATCAATCTGCTGATTATAGTGCAAATTGTTCACTAAGTTTAGGAGGACAGAGGCAAAACAATCAGAAAGGAAAATAGTGTATACAATATTTGATCCTCCCGAACATATAAAAAAAAGGGCTTCATAAGCATTTGAAAGTTTAGAAATTTTCTCTTCTGTATCTTCACTGTTTATGTAGTAAAATTTATTTTTCTGTTGTATAAATATTAATAAGATAGATATTACTGATCCAAATTCAGGATTTTATAGGAAAAATTTATAAAATTGTTTTTTTTTTGTTTGGGTTTTTTACACTTTCATATTCTTCATTGTATTCATTCATATCATTTGATTGCATTGCAGGTAGCAAAAGCTTGTTTTGTTCCTGCTTTACTTGGGCATGCCATTGATGATGATTTCATACGTCCTCATCACTCAGATCGTATACTTGAGGCTTACATGGTAAATATGTTTATAAGAATTCTTGTCATTTTGTAAACCTCTGTTACTTCTTGGATAATAAGACATGTTCTGGTCTTCTACGAATTATCATTTTTATATAACACATATTCTCTTTTATCTTCTAAGTTCTCACAAATTCTTGATTGCCAGACCTTTTGGATCCATAATATGGTTGTTTATGCTTTGTAGGGAGACAAAAGCATAATTAAATTTGAGGGAGATCACAATTCTCCCCGTCCTCAATTTTATTTTGATTCCGTAAACATCTTTTTTCACAATGTTTTACAACCTCCAGAAGATGAGCTTGGGGAATCATTTTTTGACATTGTGAATGATTACTTTGGTAAGGTAAATTCACCATGCATCTCTTATTCCCTTTGGTTCCATTTTGGTCACTATGAATGAAAAGTTCTTATTCTTGAACATTTTCTTAAGTTTTAAATGTTTTTACACAGGACGTTTGGAGATCTGTGCATGAATTTGCCCTTGGCAATGAACCGTCATTTCGAAATAAAGGCATGACTCGAGTATCCAGAATCTATTAACTATTTCTTTTGCATCGGTATCCATGAGTTGCATTTGGTAACCTCACTACTAATGTTTCTTTGTTGGTTGCAGAACCATCAACAAGCAGTACTGTGGATGACATTAAGCAAGTCCGTTCAAAAAGACCAATGAGTAGGATGGAGGTATTTATTAATTATTTGCTCTTTGTTTATTGTCAGAACTCAGAAAAAGCATTCAAACAACATGCTGAGTAAATTTTCATGTGATTAATATTAAGGCCTTGTTTGGACTTTGGATTAACTTTTCCAAAAACAGTTAAAGAAGAAGAAATGAAAAGGTAAAATGCATTGAGCTTCTTCCATAAGCTAAAATCAACTATTACTGTTATACATCTTAGCTTTTGGAAAAGTTAGATGAAGAACTTCTATAAAAGTTATGTGCATAAATTGAATATAGCTTATGGGAGAAGCTCAATTCATTATACCTTATTTTTTTCTTCTATTAAGTTCTTATTAAAATGTAGATTGGCGCTTGATGCAATACCAGTTATGTTTGGAAATAGGGAAAATTTAATATTCACGTGATGAATATAAAATGTAAATTGGTCCTTCTGTTCATATATGATAGATGCTCTCTTATAAAATCCATTAGGTTTAAGACAATTTTTATCCATTAAAGTGGCTGCAGCAGTATGCTTTCCTTGAAAATCCTGGCTTTTATCTCCAATCATTATCACTAAATAACTGTAAAATCCTTGCATTGCCATAGAACAATGCGTTCCTTATGTCTGAAGACCTTGAAAATGCTCCAAGCTTGCAGGAGAGCAACAGACCCCTTTGATTCATCGAACTTCTCAAAATCTCTACCACAAATATATCTAGCAGCTCAACAGTTAAGAATTCTGATGCTACTAATCATGATATTAAAGAACCATATAATACAAACTGTCAAGGACTGATTTAAGCTTAAGCTATTAAGTAAAATTTCATGAATGGTTAATCTCACAAGTGCCCAAGTCTTGAAGTGTGGACAATGTATTGACCCACCTTACCTTCTATGGAAATTTAACTTATGTTTATTAGAAAAAATGGAGTTCGCAATGATCAAACTCCTGACTACTTGGTCATAGAAGTTCTTATATATACCATGTCAATGACCATTTCTACCAGCAAGCTTAAGTTGTTAGGTAAAGTCTCATGAATGATTTTTCAATCTAAAACATTAGAGCAGGGTTCTTTGTATAGTTTGCTACTCTCCTTTTTTGTTTATGGTGTAAAAATTTTATTGCATGGTGTCATTTGAGCAGCCATGACTTGAATTTTGTTTAAATCCTTTTAATGATGTGGTTCTTAGTTTTTTATTTCTTGAATAAATATATTTTTTACTTTCTCAGGTTCCATCAGATATATCCTCAAAAGATGGACGGCATGACTCTAAGGTATTGCTTTATCTTGTCTTTATACCGAATATGGATATATTCATTCTTTGTATGTGCATGGAGGTTAAAATTACTAGTGCACAACAGGTAGAGAAATGTGATGATCTTTCCTCATCGTCTTCTACGATGATTAGTTTTGAATTATCAAACGGTCGTCTCTATAGTCCCCTTGTTCCAACCGATCTAGATGATGATCACTACGTGGAATATCAACTTGATGACTTTGCAGGTTTTCCATCTAGTGCAAAAGAACAAAAAAATGTGAGTCTATTTGTTGGTTATCACATAACATAATTGAAATTTTGAATGCATGTTGGTTAAAAGTTGTATAATTGGTTTTCATGGATTTGTACATATGATTCAGATGTGTATGGAAGCAGTGATAGATCATTCATGGAAAGACCAGGAAATAAGAAATCCAGAAGGAGAACAACCACCTGTCAGCAGTGCTAGTACTATGTCTGTAGAGCCATCAGATAAGGATGACTCACATGCTCCTTCACATGAGATTTTCAAACCAATGGAAACAGATTCTTCTTTACTCAGCAACAGTTTGCATTCCACAGCCTCAACAATTTCCACTGCATCCAATGTATGTGAGCCCTTGAAAGATGAGTCAAATTCCATTTCAGTGATTCCAAGTCCAGTACCAAGTCTTTCATCTAGCAAAATACCACCACCATCACCACTGCCACCAACATTGGACACTTCATCAGTCGCTGAGTCTACCAATACCGAAACTACTACTTGTAATGGCAGTTCTGCTAGCTTACAAAGTTCAACAGACACTGACATATCACACCATACCAAAGCCACGTTAACTGTTATTAAGAATCCTGCAAGCCATGTCTTGAATGGCTTAATACGACGATGGGATTTCAACTTTTTCAGAAACAGTCACAATCGATAAGATTAGAGTGTCGTTTATCCTCAGTTGGTTATTGTTATTCATTGATTTTGTAACTAAAAAATATTTGTAGTTTGTAAAATGCTCTCCACAAAAGAAATAGGTTGCTTGTACTTAAGTTCTATGAATGTTTAGATTATCATCTACCATTCATCTAATGTTCTTTCGCTGTAAGAGAGTTGTTGTGTTTTTACCCGGTGGAACAAAAATTACTGGAAGTGCCCGTTATTGGTTCATGCTTATGCATGATTATTTTCTTAACAATCCTCTAATGCTTTTTCATTTTTTCTTCATGAAGATTGGTGTAATTGTGTGCAACTACTGCTGCATTCCGGGTTCTCTTTAGAAGTCTTGTAAAAAATGTAATAATAACGTTAAGAGTGACAATTTACGTACCTACAAGAACCACATACCTGATATCACGTACCTGCGCAGGTATCTATGGTATGAAAGTTGAGCAATGTAAATGGTTCTTTATTATGTTGACAAATTGTTATAAAATCAATCTCACATGCTCTCATGTGAGTATATTTGTCTATGTGATAATTTTTTTAAATTTCTATCTTTTATTATATTTTTTCTTTACTCTTTCTCTATCTATTATATCTTTCTTATTCATTTTATTAAATTCAACACTCATTTCTCTATTGTCTAATTTTTATTTGACTATAATGATCATCAAAAGGTATTATTTTTTTCTCAATTTTGTTTACATATAATTTGATATTTGATAATCTATTTTGTGTGTCAATTTCTTTGTCTTTATCTTCTATTAAATTTTTGATCTCCTTTCTATTTTATTTACACATAATTTGGGATTTGATAATTTATTTTGTGTGTCAATTTTTATGTGTCCTTATCTTCTATTTTTTGATGTTTTGTTTAAGTGTGCACAAGGTATGTGTACAAAGAGTGAAAATATAATAGAGACTTCAAAATTGTGGACAAAGAAGATATAAAAGGCAAGTGCTTTAATTTTTTTCTTCTTCTTATTTGTGGATTTGATATATTGAACATGAATTTTAAATTATTTGTTAATATGCAATTTCTATTTTTGCAAGAAAATGACGGAAAAAGAAATTGTTAATGTTAAATTGAATTCTCACTCACATGTTCATTACTAATATGATTTATTTATTTTTCTTTTTATTAGAAATTGAAAGTGACAATAATATATTATCTATATAGCACTTTCTATAATATTATTTTTGTTATTCATCTATATCAAATCATTCAATATTTATGTGAATTTCTCATTTTTTTTATAAAATTTTTTATGTTTCATTTCATTTTATTTTATTTTCAAAAATCACACACTTTTTTCTCTTCAAGGGTTAATATATATTAAATTTCTTAACTTAATTCTCTTTTTCCTTCTATATTATTACTATTGAATATTAATAATTGTGATAAATTATATAATATAATTACAATTTGTATCAAATAACAAATAATTTCAAATTGCATTTAATTAGTAATTAAGAGACTAAATTTAATTAAAATGTTTGTTATAAAAAGTAAAAGACAATAAATATGATGAAATTACTAGTGAGATAAGACACTTTGTCTAAATATCATCTAATGCTACACTTGGTCCTTAATCCTTAATGTTTTAAGTCTTGTGTTTATAAAGATAATTAATTTTAATATTATTTTTTATTATTTAAAAATTTAAGGATAAAATCGTCTAAAAAGTGTACATACTAAAACATTTATCACCTTTATAAAGATTATTAATTATAAGAAAAAAGACATTTTTTCAAAATTATAATGTATGATAATTTAAAATTATGTTTAATTAGTAATTATTATGTACAAACTCATGATTTTATTAATTAAGAGATCAAATTTCATTGAATTCTTAGTTACATACAAATAATAAATAGTATAGTCATTAATATTAATTTTAATTTTAATTAATATTAATTGTATATTAAAATATTAGATAATTTAAAATTTATTTAATTAGTATTTATATGTTATTAATTTTATTATTTAAGAAATTTAACTTGATTAATTCACCGTTACAGAAAAGTAATAAATATTATAATAATTAATATTAATATTAATGCTAATTATAAATAATCATTAAACAATTTATATTTCCAAAACCTAATAATTATAAATTAAAATATTATAATATTGTTACGATTTATATAGATTATAGAATAACTGATACTTCTAAATTATCATAAATTAACATTTATGTTCATTACTAATTATATTAGCTAAGAGAGTGAATTTGATTAACATGTCCGTTATAAAAAAAAATTAATAAATGTATGATTAATATTAATTTTAATCAGTAATAAATATTTTTTTTTACCAAACCTTGACAATCTAGCTCGCAAATTGGATTTTAGATAAGAAGTTGCATATTAGAAAATTATAAATATATGTGTATTTTTTTATTATCAATTTATTAATTTGATAAAATATTAAAATATTTTTTTTAATAATTTAGTTATAGAAAATATTGATTAAATACTTATTTGAATATGTTATCTTTAATTCCATGAACTTCTTTAAAAGATTTTATTCACTTTCTTCTTATATTTTTGAATTTGAATCTAACAAAATCAAAAGAATGAAAATTTAAAATTAAATTATGAAAACTTTCATTCCCAATATTATTCATATATTACAAAATAATAAAACAATTTTAAACTATATTTTGTTTAGAATTATAATACAGTATTTTAGTCTTTTTAAGTATTTAATTTATATGATATTTTTTTCTCATTTTATACATTTCATTTTGATTTTTGATTTAATTTGAGCATTTCAATAAATTAAAAAAAAAATATGAGGCATATAATAATCTATTATTTGAGTGAAATAGTAAACCAAAGTATTTAAAACTTTAAATAGAATTGCATTACAACTTTTTGTATGTATTTGCTAAAATATATATAATAACATAATAAAAAGTTGAGTTAAATGAACTCATTTATTCAAGTTTGAATTTCTTTATTTTTAAATAATATATTGAGTTAAAATTTTCTTACTCTTAATTAAATAAATATACATATATTTGAAACAAATTCACTTAAAAAAATAGCGATGGACTGTTTTCTTTACAAAAGTAATAGACTTAAGAGATATTGTTGTTACCATATTTTGTAATTTTAGCATTAAAGTATAAATATTTTAATATTCATTTGAAACTAAGTTTTAAAGAGATTAATGATAGATTATTTATATAAATATAAATACCAAAATAATTTGTAACAATATTTTTTCTTTATAAAAGTTGCACTAAGTTTTCGATTTAGAGCTTCGTATCCTATTTCAAACTCCATCACTAACAATAATAACTTTATTTGGTGTAAGAAAAAAATAATAAATTTATATTACATAATAAAAAGTTATATTTAAAATTTATATGTTAACTAATAAAATAATATATTCTTAAATTTAAATAATTATCTTTTTTTATCCACGCATCACACAAATTCGAATAGATTCATAATACATTGCGAGAATTTTTTACAGAAATAGAATTAAAAAAAAAAATACTCAAAGAGCATTTGTTACATATTATTTACAAGAGTAGCACGGTTTACTGTGCAAGCTTAGAATTTGGTTCCCGAGAAATTGAATTCTGAGCAACGTTTTATTTATTTATTTTGCGTTTTAGGTTTAGGTCACGTGTTAATTTTACATCTAGAACGGCCCGTTCTTTAACCAAAACGGCCTGTTTTGCTTGCACTCGTCGTGTGTTAATTTTGTATCTGGGACGACCTGTTCTTAAACCAGAACGAGTCGTTCTAGAGTTGAGTTTTAACTCATAACCTGAATGTTGGAACGACCTGTTCCAAATTAGGGTTTTAGCCATTTTTAGTAGTTTGGAATAGGTCGTTCTGGTTTTGGAACGACCCGCTCTAGGCTACTGACGCGTGGTAATTTTATCATTACACAAAATTTCATGCGACGATTAAAAAATGCAACACTAGAGAATGATGTTGTCAACATAGGTAATTTTATCATTACTTTTTTTTCAAATGTTTGATAATTAGTTTTCATTATTTAATTATTATTTTTTTCTCCAGCCTATGGGATGACTGAACCTAGATTCTTTTACTATTACAACATAGTAAGAGATACTAATGCTAAAGCAGCCCAATGGTTAGACAACATTCTTAAGGAAAATGGATACTAGCATGGGACAATGGACGACGTTGGGGACACATGACAACAAACCTAGCTGAGTCTATTAATTTCGTATTGAAGAAAACACGAAATCTACCAATTTGTTCCATGGTAATGGCCACACACACTTGTTGCAACAAGTTCTTCATTCAAAGAGGCAGGGAAGTGGATGCAATGATTAATGTTGGACACGTCTACTCTAAAATTGCAAGTAAAATTATTCAAGATGCGCAGTCCAAGGCAAATACTCATAGAGTTATCACCTTTGACAGATCAAACAGTAGATTTCTAGTAGAAGAAATGCAACATCCGAGAGAAGTTTGATCTGCTGAGAGATTTACAATAAGGCTAGATGAAATGTGGTGTGATTGTGGCAAGTTCCAGAAAGTTCATATCCCTTGCTCGCATGTACTTGCTTCATACTTACATGCACATCACAACTATCAAACCTACATATCTCTCATATATACCTTACAACAAGTTGCAAAGGTATACGAAGGACAGTTTAGAAAGCTCTGACATGAAGATTATTGACCTACTTACATTGGTCCAACTTTGTGGCCAAATCCAGAACTCTAGAGAATTTCTAAGGGTCGGCCAAAGTCCAACCAAAGTCCAGAACTCCCGCCACCATTGATCTTTTATTGTTGTAATGAGTTTTAATAAATTTAAGGTTAAAACCCTTATTTGGTCCCTTATAATATTTTTTTGTTTCAATTTAGTCCTACTTTAATTTTTTGTTTCAATTTGGTCTCCAATAATTTAAATTATTGCAATTTGGGACTTCCATCCAAATGATTTAAACGGAGTTAAATGTTGGCCACGTGGATACCAGATGGATGCCACGTAGATGCATAGGTGGACGCCAAATTTCATGAATACGCATGGAACCAGAACGATCCGTTCTGCATGCCCAAGTTATGTGTTAGTTTTGCAATTGGAACGGGCAGTTCTGAAACCAAAACGGCCCGTTCTGGTGTTAGAACGGGCCGTTCTGGCTTCAAAACGACCCATTTTAGATGCCAAATTTACACACCAATAGTGTAACCAGAACGGTCCGTTCTAGTTTCAGAACGGGTTGTTCTGGTTCCAAGTGTATTCGAGAAATTTGGCATCTATCTACGTGGCATCCACCTAGCATCCACGTGGCCAACAGTTAACTCCGTTTAAATCATTTGGACGGAAGTACCAAATTGCAATAATTTAAATTATTGGGGACCAAATTGAAATCCAAAATTAAAGTGGGACTAAATTGAAACAAAAAAATATTATGAGGGACCAAATAAGGGTTTTAACCTAAATTTAATTAGTTATATTTATAATTTTAATAAATAATAAATTTAATTAG